TAATTGTCTCATCAGTGCAAAACTATTAGTTTTACTTATTTATTTCAGATTTAGTCCAACATACACATAGTTTTTCAGTGTTTAAAAGAGGACAGACATGTTAAAACACTGTTTAGTCAAAGCTAAATACAAAATGTTAAAGTTAATTACAACTGGCCCTTCGAGAGCCACAACGCTCATGAGGCCCTGAGTGAAAATGAGCTCGACACCCCTGTTCTAAGGCGTGTTCTTTAACTAGAGTTGTAAGTATTCACTATATGATATAATATTCAAAAAATATGTACAACCTGTAACAACAATACTGAGAAATGTTCATCATGTTGGAGAAAAAATATGCAAATTTTAGATTGCTCCAAACTACATTAAGTAGTGAATCAAAATGGAGCTTAGAATGAGAGGGTTTTAAAACTGCACCTTATTGCACCCGATTTTAAACTTCCGCTGGGTTATTTGCCCTCTTATTTAATTTAAAACAAGATTACCTAGGCTGTAGTCTGTCAGAAATTTGAAGAGGGGCATGCGATGGTCCTCGCAGTCCTCTTCAGCCTCACTGTCCCTCCAGTATGACAAATTAATTGTTGTCAAGCCATTTTTTTTGCCACAACCTCAGCACCTTACCASGGTAAAGCACGTTGCACATGTCCTCCTCAGAAAACCAGAAATGATCAATACAACCAACCAGACTCTTTGGATTGTTCACAATGTCACCAAGAACGTTTCTCTGCTCTTCACTCAAACCCATTTCTTGTGCCAGCTCATCTTTAAGTTTACCACTTTCTACTGCTGCTTTTATTTTCTTCTCCACTGTGTTTCAATGTTTGGTTTCCTTCTTTTGCTTCTTCTCTTGTTTGACCTGGTATTCCTTTTCATGCAGTCTCTCTCRTTCCCTTCTAATTCTTCTCACTTGCTTTGCTCTCTTGACAGTAAACAGGATGAGGTGGTTTTACTCAATGTAATCCTTCCTTTTCAGCCATTCAAGGGTCTTGTTCTTTCAGCCATTCAAGGGTCTTGTTCTGCTTTGCACGCACCTTTCCATCAAGGTATCCCATAGTGGCATTTGGGGCATGGTGGTGCTGGCTATCAACCGTAGCAAAAACTCTTTCACTGAACATGTTACTAACTGGGGCTGACTTTGTCTGCTTTAACACTGCAGGTGAAGGATTTGKRYAGARTCCTGATAAGTCTGGTTGTAGCTGCCGGGTTAGAACTGTGACTGTTGCTTTGAAGAGGATGTGAAGAGTTTATTTCAACACACCCTGGGAATCATCAACATGTTGAAGACATCTGAGGACATAGTCTTCTTTCAATGGATTTTCAAAACATCCATCTTGGCAGTGACGGCATCAAGGGGCTCTTCTTTCAATTTGCTAAGATTTTCAACAGCACATTTCAAGAACGGAACAACCTCAAGATTCGTCTTGCTGGCCTTGTTCCTGTAAAGAAGAGACAACCATGGCCCAGTTGCAATCTTCCCCAACAAGACCCAGGCCCTGCAGGTGGATGATAAGTGAAGAGTTGGTGAGGTCCTTGATGATTGATGTGCGCAAACCAGTGGTACAGTTGCAAAAATGCTGCAGGTAKTCCAAGATTTGTTTGCGGTAGCAGAAAAATATTCCTGCTAAATGGAACATAACGTGAAGTCTYTTACCCACATATCAAACAATCAGMTTGAGATAGGGTTGGGCAATATTGGCAAAATAATTAATCACGATTAATTGTAGTATTTAGCCGATAACGATTAATTTGACGATTAATCCCCTGGAGTCCCTGGGCACCCTTATTTCGTAGTCACATGACCAATTTAGTGGGAAAGATTTGCTCTTTGCAAAAAATTGTTCCAAATTGTGTGAAAATTGCAGTTTTCAGGCTATACATCATATTTAAWTTGCGTAGATAAATAAATTACAGAACTTTATTTTTAATGTTCGTCATATTTGAAGCCGAGAGGAGCACCGAGCAGACTGGTTGCATTAATCGCATTCATCAAGTGCKAAAAAGTAATKGATTAATGTTTTTCTGATGATTAATTGCACACGATCCGATTATGTCCAACACTAGTTTGATATCAATGTTGACTTTTTTAAGGAATGATTTGAAGCCTTTGGGATCACATTTTCCTTGCTTGAATCTCATTTTTGACAGAGCATATATATAATTTTCTGCACAGCAGCCACGACCGAGAAGCTGTCCCACAATCCRTTTTTGCCTCTCCAGCTGTTTAGGAATGTCCTGGTCTCATCYGCTATATCATCCAGAGGATGGATATTGCAGTTCAGCTGTAACAGTTCAATGTTCAAATCTTCTTCTAATTTTTCTGACGCATTTGTTTACAGCGGCTCCATCTAAAATGGTGTTTTTGAGTTTTGAGATAAAAATGTTGCTCACTTCAAAGTTGGATGCGCTACATTCAGATCGGGACAGAGACTAGATGCACGTCTGAAGAGGGAGGAGTGTCTTGTTTATTTCCCGGTCTGTTTTCGGCAGGGGAAATAAAGATAAAACAAAGAAAGGAAAAGAAAGGGCTTAAAAGCCTGAATTTTGCCTGAAACTCTCAGACTGAAGAAGTCTCTTGGAGGAGAGACGAAACATTTCATTAGAGAAGAACCCGTCCAGAAGACCTATACAATTTTTTTCTTTTTGATTTTTACCTGGATTACTGAGATGCATCAGGACATTTATTCGGTTAGTTTCACCACTCCAGGAGCTGTGAGCTGAAGGACTATTTTTTGTCCCGAGCCCAGTTTAACACCGCGGTCAGTTTAACGAACTGCTGACCCACATCGGTGCCGATATCTCCAGCCAGAAAATCAACTACAGATGGTTGATTTCAGCTAATGAGCTTCTGTCCATCTGTTTGTGGGCAACATTCAGGAAACTGTTACGTAGAAAAATAAGTCTCTCTGATTGGTTCCTGCGGCGCGTCGAGCAGCAAAAGTTCAGATTTTTTAACTCCAGCGTCGGCTGCTTTGGACGCATCACATGCACGGAAAACGCTCTACCGCTACCTTCCGCTTCCTTGCGCGCCGCACTAAACAAATTTGATGTGCTACGAGACCCCTAGAGGCACGTCCACCATAGACTTTGCATGTAAACCAGCCGCTCCTGCAGCTCAAAACAAGTTTGGTGTGAACGTACCAGACTTAAAGCTCTACCCCCAAAACCCTGGCTTAATATTTGATGGAAGTGAGATGCTTCCAAAACATTGACAGAAACACTGATGGATTTCAGATTGTGAAAGGAATAGCAGCTGAAATCCTAACTAACTACCGTAACAGAAAACAAAATGAGAATCTTTGGAAGAGAAAGTTTCTGTTAGCTAACATGATCTAAAGCTAACAGATCACAGTACTGACTTATATTCAGTCTCATCTGACTCCAGCATCAACAACAAACCAACTGGTGGTCATGATCACAGTCCCATCTGATGAACTCTTTACTGTAGTTTAGTTTAAAAAGCCCAGCAAGAAAAATGGTCTCTAACAGAACTGAATATAAGAACTGTTGGTTTCTGAGCTCCATCAGAGTGTCAGTTTGTAGGAACTCCCTCAGTTCAGTCAGAGCCTCAGCAGAACCCCACAGCCAACCTGTTTCCTGATATCAAATGTAGAGTCTGTCAGCTCTCCAACATACTGGAATCAGCTCAAAGAATCAGACGATAGAAGATCCAGCAACCGAAGACGAGCCAGTGGCTGGCCCAGTTCAGTTCAGACCACCTGTGGATGGTATGGATGGCTGCGTAACCCTTCAGACAGAAACAGAAACACTCTCAGTCCAATAACTGCATGTTTTAAACCTCACTATACTGATGGCACATGTCTAAACTGAAAAAAACTGAAAAATAAAAACACATATCAGTGAATATTATCAGCTTCGACAAATTAATCAACCCACACATCAAAGACTGAAATCAAATCTGAACTTCTTTCTTAGCCTTAGGTTGAACTTTGTCAGTCGTCCAAATGAATGTAAAAATGCTCGACTAAAATTACTTCAACAAGAGAATAAAAAGAAAGTTGTTACAAAGAAATTAAACTATAAAAATAAGCTGTTTAGTTTTTAACTGCATTAGCAGCATTAATAAAATGTTGCCATTTGTGTGACAATTTTTTATATAATTTATAAAAACAAAACAGCCTACAGTATTTTTACAGTTGAAGTAAATGTTTATCAGATTAAGTCTAATGTTACAACTAGTCAGTGTCCCCTTTAAAGTTTTTTCTTCCCAGAACATGACTCTACATGTTATACAATAAATACTTAAATTAAATTATCATTATAAACCCTTTATCAGCCTTTAGATTGAACTGAACTGTACAACGTCAAAGTTTACCTCTTCTACTTCCTGTTCATCAGCTCCAGGATCAAACATGGAGCCCAGGTAGGTCAAATGGAAGACCACCAGAAAACTGAAGACCAGGTTCAGCAGCTTCACCCAAAGGTTCTGCAGAGCAAACACTGAAAGTTAAATTAATGACCTTTTACCAGGCATCCCAACACCTGATGAAGTCTGATGATGATGATGATTCAGCAGAAAATCAGCTGGAAACTTTCTGCTCCAGGGCTTCGAGTAAAAAAACAAATCCTGAGCCTGAAACATTTTTGTGGTGGTGATATGGATGAAGTTAGAACATGTTCTTATCAGTGAGAATCTGTGCAAAAATCCACACTTTAAATGACACAGAATAAACAGGACAATGGGGTATTTATTCCCCTATAACAGAGACTGAGGTGACATCAATTGTATCATAAAGGCAGGTCATAATATATTTGTTTCTGATATGGTCCTTACAGGTCTCCTTAGTTCAGGGTTCCTACAGCTTAAGGCAAGTTAAATTTAAGACATTTTAATACCTCTTTAATGCCACTTGAAATAAAATTTAAAACCAAATTAACAAAAACAGTGACAATTTCA